GAACTCTGAAGATCTTCTAACTGCAGTGTTAAGTGTGTGGTAAGATAGCAGGACTGGAAGATAGCTTGAGAGAATTGAAAATCCGATTTGCATGTTTCTTTCCCTTGGAGTGCAGGAAAATCTTAGTGGTTGTAAGTGTGCAAAACTGAAGTAACAGTCAGGTTTCTCAGCGGCTCCTAGAGCAGCAGCTCTCAACCTGTACGTCTCAACCCCTCTGGGAATTGAAGAACCCTCTCACAGGGGCCGCCTAAGACCATTGGAAAACACAGATGTTTACGATACAATTAATAACAATAGCAAAACTGCAGTTATGAAGTAGCAATGAAAGTAACTTTATGCGTGGGGGTCACACAGCATGAGGAACTGTATTAAAGGTCCACAGCATTAGGACGTTAAGAACTGCTCTCCTAGAGGAATGCTTCCAAGGAGGCACCTGGCAACTGCAGCACTTTGCCTACTGTCAGTGGTGCCCAGCTTTGGAGGAGCAGAGGAATCCATTATCTCAGGAACTCCTTTTGTGCTCTTCCTGCTTTCTCTGTGGTGTAGCTCTGTGCATCTTACATGTAGCCTCTGAAGGTCCTTCTCCTCCTCCTCCTCTTCCTCCCCTCCTCCTCCTCCTCCTCCTCTTTTTCCTCCTTCTCTCTCTCTCTCTCTCTCTCTCTCTCTCTCTCTCTCTCTCTCTCTCTCTCGGTATATCTGTGTGTGACTGTATGTCTATGTGTCTGTGTGTGTTGTGTGCATGCAGGTACAGGTGTGTGTATGAGTGTATGTGTGTGCATGTCTATTTGTCTGTGTATCTGTTTGTATATGCAGGTTTGTATATGCAGATACAGGTGTGTATGTGTGTGTGTATGTATGTATGTGTGTGTGTGCATGTCTGTTTGTCTATGTGTCTGTTTGTATATGCAGGTACAGATGTGTGTGTAGATGAATGGTCTTATTAAATAAGAAACACAGAGTCAACTGCAGAGTTAAAAGCCCAAGAGGTCAGAGCAAGAGCTAAGAGCTAAAAACCCTTTCTTACCCTTTATTGCTGCTGCTGTCCTCCTTAGCAAGAGAACTACTTCCTGTGTATCTGTCTTTTTATTGACTTTCTGTTCTGTCTTCTCGTTGGTTGTAAATCCAACCACATGACCTCCTTGTTACTGTCTGTCTATACAGATCTCCAGGTCTCTATGGTTGGTACTTGGATTAAAGGCTTGTGTCACCATGCTGGCTGTGTCCTTGAACACACAGACTCTGCCTGCCCTGTGATCAGATTAAGGGCTTGTGCTACCACTGCCAGACTTCTGCTAAATGGCTTGCTATTAGCTCTGACCCCCAGGCAACTTTATTAACATACAAATAAAATCACATTTCAGCACAAATAAAATATCACCATATGTGTGTGTGTGTGTGTGTGTGTGTGTGTGTGTGTGTGTGTGTGTGCATGTCTGTTTGTCTATGTGTCTGTTTGTACATGCAGGTACAGGTATGTGTGTGAGTGTGTGTAGGCCAGGAGATAACCTTGGACATTATTTGACTTTTTTTTTTGGTTTTCAAAACAGGGTTTCTCTGTGTAGCCCTGGCTATCCTGGAACTTGTTCTGTAGACCAGGCTGGCCTGGAACTCAGAGATCCACCTGCCTCTGCCTTCTGAGTGCTGGGCTTAAAGGTGCATGCCAGCATACCTAGTGACCATTTGCCTTTTTAAAGGCAGCATCTCTTATTGACCTGGAGCTCACCAAGTGGCTAGCGAGCTGGCCAGGAAGTTCCAAGGATCTGCCTGTCCTCAGGGGCCCAGTGGTGAGACTGGGGAATTCACATGACCACACCCAGCACTTTTATTTTTTCAGATGGGTTCTAGGGCTGGAACTGAAGTCCTCATACTTCCAGGGAGCTCTGCACCGACCGACTTGCTTCCCAGTCCTTTCTCGTCATCTTCTGTCATCCGGCAGCTCTAACTTGACACTTGTGTAGACATTTGTACCTATTCCAGAGCAGTCTTCCCACAGGACCCCTGGTCAATGGGGTTGATTTTATTTTTTTAATTTTATTTTAATCCCCCCCACCCCCAACCCCCGCCAGATTTACTTTTGTGTACATTGGTGCCTTGCCTGCATGTATGTCTGTGTGAGGGCACCGTACCCTTTGTAACTGGAGTTATAGACAGTTGTGAACTGTCATGTGGGTGCTGGGAATTGAACCCAGGTCCTCTAGAAGAGTAGCCAGTGATCTTAACCGCTGAGCTGTCTCCCCAGCCCTGGTTAATTTTACTTTAAGATGCAGTGAGTAAGAACTATTGCCTATAAAGGAGTAAAAGATTCTTATGAAGCAAGTAGACAACTGTCTCTTACACAGGGATGCCTTTTCCAGGTCCCTTCAGGATGCTTGAAACATTCTCTGCCCCTACAGTTAGCATTTGTGTGGCTGTGCACACAATTTGGCCTATGCTAGAATATCAAGTCAATTCTACTCATTCCTTATGAAATGAAATCCCTCTCTCAGGCACTCTTCAAATTTACCCTGCCTATGAAGCTTTTCCAGAACCAACCACAGAGGAGTAGTCTTTACATCTTTTGCACTTCTAACCCTGAATTTGGATTGAGGAGTCAGACTCGGCTCCTAGTTAGGTATGGATGAGTTTGTCTTAGCATATGTATGGACGAGGTTTACAGAGTTAGAATCCATATTACTCTCCCCCCACCCCCAGAACAGCCTAACACTTTTGTCCCTGGAGATGTGTTAGCTGCCAATTAACTGACTGTCACACAGAACCAGGCCCATGTAAAACACATAAACATGTCACAAAGGCGTTGGTAAAGTTCTTGTATTTGAAGTAAAACATATTTTTTTTTATTTTCCTGGATAAAATGTCAGAAGATGAATTTGTTACTGAGACAAGAGGTATATAAGAAAGTTGAGCCACTGTAGGCAAGCCTTGGGAAGTGCACGGCACGTCTCTTCCCGTCTACAGCCCCTCCTCTGTGCATCATCCATTTCAGTGATCTTTCACCTCCTCTTCCATGGGTCTTCCAGTGAGAAGAGTCAGGCTGTGGTCTCCAAATCCCGTTTGTCTGGTTTGATTCCAGCTCTGCCATGCTCTCACCAGCTATGACCTTGAGTAAGTTACTTCACTTCTCTGTGCTTCTGGGGCAGTCAGTCTTGACTTCACAGACCTGTTGTAGGTTTGGGTAGAGTGTGTGGATAGTGCCCTGTGTGCAGAGGCACCCAACAGTGTGAGTCATGATTAGCACTCTGTTTATGGGGGTCTCCTCCCTTTCTGAACTCCTCTGCTACCACACAGTGTGGCAATTTGTAGTTTCTAATTATTCCTAAAGGTAGCTTTATCCCTAGTCATATTTCTGGTGTTCTCTTCTATCATTTAAGAAACAAGAGGCCAAGAGGCAAACACACGGCAATGCCATCACCATCACCCTGCACCATCAAGGCAACCGAGCCCCAAATCAGCATCCCACAGCACCCTGTGTCAAACACGGATGGCCAGCGTGTAGCTAAGCCTCTCACACCATGCACACACTTGGGTCTTAGCATGTGTACAGCTGTAACAAGCCCCAATGTCAGTTTTGTAAGTCCATACTTCAACAAAGAAGAGCAAAGACTGTCAGAAAATGTTAAAGATTTTGGAACGACTATGATTAACAAAATCGAAACCTAAACTTACACCTTGGTGCTTCTCAAATGAAACTGACATTAGCCCCAAGACCATGGTCACTCATTTCACTGTGGTCCGCAATTCCTTGGAGAGTTGTAGACACTGTGGCTTCCTGTTGTTGTAAAAACTCCCAAGTGTGCTGCCAACTCCGCAGAAACTCACTAATTGTTGAGAAAACAGCTTATGTGGAAAAGCCTATAGCTTGGTTTTCAAGTTAATTATAGGATACCAGGGCAAGAAAGAAGCAAGGAAAAAGAAAAGCCAGTGTTACTAGGGCTATGGATGTGAATATTTTATTTGAAAATATCAAAATTAAATCATGTTTAATTAGTACTTAACACGAATTGTAGTGGTTTCTTCTGTTAGCATGTGCTTATCAAGCATTTGCTATAAGCTGTTCACTGTATTTATGGGCTGGTAATATGGTGATGAATAAAATATAATTGTTCTCCTCTTGGGACATAAGATAGGGAAAGTCTGTCTGCTAGAACCTTCTATGATAGAAAATGTCTCTTTCAGTGCTGTCCAATGTTATAGCCAATTACCATGTAAGGTTATCAAATACCCAAAATGTGACTAGTGTTTTTGAAAAGGAATTTTAAATTTATTTAATTTTACCTAATATAAAGCCAAATAGCACACATAGCTGGTAGCTACCATATGAAGCAGGTCAGTCCCAGGGCCAGCACTGTGAGTGCGAAGTTTCTAAGAGCCATCCAGTCAGAGTGACTTGGAGAAGGGCCCCAAGGTCCTGTGGGATTGTTGATCATTTGACAAAGATTTCATTGACTCAGACATTTTAAAGAACTTTCTCAATAAAACACATGTGTTGCTTAGCCACAAATCCAACTTCACCAAAGAACCCTGATTTGATCCAGCTGAGTGTGAAAGCCTCAAGGCCTGTTTATGACTTTACATTCCTCTCATCCTCCCAAGGGAAGGTCACTTGGCACATGCCCCGAAGGGAGGAGGGCAGAATGCTGGCTTAACCACTTCTAACTCCCCACCTGTCTCCATTCCCTGGCATACATGGGCACATATACTACACACAAACATGTGAATGTATGGTAATCTGCCCTCCACACAGAAAAGAATGCCTTCCTGGAATGCAGAAATGTCAACAGCTTTGAGTATGATTGCATGGACTTGGCCTTGCACATTCACCCTCTTTCATAACTAGCTGTTCTTTGGAATTCGTTCTGAATAGTTTGCATCCTCAGCTGAGAGAACCAAATGGAAACCTCTAGATACCCCTGAGGTCTGTTCTGGAGACCTGAGGCACCCAGTAGGAAGTGGAGAGGCAGTACTCCAATGTCCCACTGAGAAAAAGGCATGGGTTGGGAAGTTACGGGTCCAGCATAGAGCTGAGTGTACCCTCAGTAAGTCATTCCACGTTTCTGAGCTCCGACTTCTTCATCAGCCAGACTAAAGAGCCACATCAGATTCAGGCTTGTTCTAGGTTCCTTCCCATTGCGATGATCAAACACTTTAACCAAAGCAATTTAGGGAGGAAAGGATTTATTTTAGTATTCAGGTTACAGTTCATCACTGGGGAAAGCCTGGGCAAAAACATAAGGCAGAAATGTAAATGGACGGTTCTCTCCCACCAGCCAGCTCTTGAATAACCACTCAGAGGTTTAATATTACTTACAAGAGCTTGGCCATTAGCTCAGGCTTGTTACTAACTAACTCTTACACTTAAATTAACTCATAATTCTTATCTATGTTTAGCCACATGGCTCACAACTTGTTACCTCATTTTCTACACATCCTGCTTGCTAGGCAGCTGGCTAGCATCTCCCAGAATCTGCCCTTCTCCTTCCTTCCTTAGTTTGGTTGTCCTACCCATACCAGTCCCACTTCCTACCTGGCTACCAGCCAATCAGCTTTATTATTAACAATAAGAATAATGCATATTCATAGTGTATATAAAGATTGTTCCATAGCACAGAAACCATGGAGGAACCACTGCTTGTGGCTCGCTCACAAGCTATGCTTTCCTACATAGCCCAGGATCACATGCCTAGGGAATGGTGCTGCCACAGTGGGCTGGGCCCTCCCACACCAATGAACAATTAGGACAGCCCCTAAAGACACACTCACATTTGTAGCTAGAGTTTTCCTGCCTGGCCCACAGTCAGGACAAATCTCTCTCACCTGCCAGTCCCACAGTCGCTCAGACCCGACCAAGTAAACACAGAGACTTACATTGCTTACAGACTGTATGGCCATGGCAGGCTTCTTGCTAACTGTTCTTATATCTTAAATTAATCCATTTCTATAAATATATACCTTGCCATGTGGCTCGTGGCTTACCGGCATCTTCACAAGCTGCTTGTCATGGTGGCGGCTGGCAGTGTCTCCCTCACTCAGCTTCCTGTTCTCTCAATTCTCCTCTCTGTTAGTCCTGCCTATACTTCCTGCCAGGCCACTGGCCAATCAGTGTTTTATTTATTGACCAATCAGAGCATTTGACACAAGACCATCCCACAGCACACATTAGACCAACTTATCCCTCAACTGGGACTCTCTTCTCAGGTGACGCTGAGCTATGTCACATTGGCAGGACAAGGCCAGAGGTGAGACAGCCAAGATTGGCTCCAGCCGTTTCTATGTTCTCCTTTATTGTCTAAATTAATCCAGGAGAGGGCCATCTTTCCCAGGGTCAACTGGACCAGGCTCTTCGCAGCATCAGTCATAGTCATCTACTTGAAATGGGGTCAAAATGGACATCAATAAAAAAGATCACAGGCGAGTTTTTCACTGAGACTGTCTGTGCACGTGTCTGTGGGTAGCAGGGAGTATGAGGAAGGTACAATTCCCTCGGGTGAACTTGTGTAACACAAGGTACAGCCTTGGTCAGGCCTGGCCTGACGGCTTTCCCAGGCACCTCTCCACAATTCTTGGCTGTGTTCTCACCTGGATGACAGAAAAGGACAAATATCTCCATTCCTAGGTCTGGAGTTTTCCTTGGGGTCACTGCTGTTCTTAGGAGGAAGAAGTGACATTGCGGCTGCTCCCAGCTCTGGGGAAGGGGGGCACAGAGGACGTGAGGACCTGGACTCTGAGGAACAGCACAGTGAACGGTGAAGGCTGGGTTCTGCTGTCTGCCCCAGCCACCAGCAGCACATACCTCAGCCCAGTCAGGAAGGTTGCTTCCTCCAGGCCCTGGTTCAGCTGCTCTCCACAGACAGGAAGCAGGGGGAGGAGCTGCTTTCTTCAGGCTCCTGTTGGAGGTGGGTGGGGTGACCACCAATTGTCACTCTAAAAACTGCCAAAAGCTAGGTCCTTTCCTCAGAGAGTTCACATTCTGCACGCTCCTGCAGACTCACGAGCCTCTCCATGGATTTTCCAGGATGATACAACATGGACCTGTGTTCCTCAGTCAAATAATCCCCAGGAGTGCCATCAGGGTGCAGAGAAGCTCCCAGAGTGTGGTCCTCACAACAAGCCACCCCCATCCTGTGTCAGGAGGCAAGTTCTGGGGTTGGGGGAGGGTGGCAGGCTGACAGTGGTGGGGGGGACCAGTAGTCCTGTATGCTTTGTCCCAGCATTGCTGTGAGCTGAATGGATGATGGACTCCTGGGTCCTCAGATTCCTCTTTGCCTCCTCGAGGGCACATAGGGATGGGAGGATACCTGGATTTCAGAGCCCAGGAATCCATCCCGAAGGTGGTTTCAGGCAGTTTTACCTTGATGGGTATTTATTTTCTCACTGAAGTGGCTTCATTTCTTATTTATGAGATTTGAAATATTCATGTATATACACTTAATTATTTTCCATGTTTCATACACATATATACATTTTATACTGGCAACAATCTGGATAACAGAAAATGAAATGTATTGAATGTCTCCTCCGAGTGCCAAAGGTCTTTTCTAATCTAAACCCACACACAAGGCAGAGGTCAGGGAATTTCCTTTCTAAACCTGGTCTAGATTCTTAGTCCTGCCCCAACAGCTACAGAACTCAGAGTCATGAAGACTGAATATCACTGAACTTTCAAAGCTTTCCTTTTCTTTCCACGTGAAAGGACAGCCTGCTGAGATGGATTTTCTAACATCCCCTTACCCCACTTTGCACCAACATTCCCCAAGTTGATTAGTGTTCAGCTGACTGCTCCTGCTTTCCTGATTATTAAAAGGACTTTGATCCTTTTGACATCACAGAACTAATTTGGTAATAAGCCATCCAATTAAGAACATATACACATAGTTTCCTGTTTATTTTTAGAGTGAGCAGCACCAAACTTCCTCAGCTTCCAAAATAGTTACTGTATCTTTAAGAAAGCAGGTACACCTGAGACAGAGGTCACTCTGCCTCATCTGATGACCCCTGGGCTGCTGAGTCACAGGAAGTGTCTGGAGGATAACCACAGACTTTCATCTCTCTTGCCTCCCTGGAATGAGTAATTCTAACTGGATATTCCTAACAAAGAAGCAATTGTGACCTCAGAAAGCACACAGTGCTATTAATTAGACCAGAGATTTACTCAATCGATGTCTGCCCTGTCTGAGGCAAAGTCTCAGATAATAAGGCCTCCCATTTTTATCTCTGTTCCTTAGTCATTATCCCATGTGACCTCAATGCAACAGTCAAAGAGGGGCCAATGACCCCCATTGTTAAGGCAGTACAGTGACTCAAAGTAGGACGCAGCCTTGTCTCCAACCGCAGGACCACGCATGATCCAGGGTTCCATCCTTCTTCAGCTGTCATGGGCCTGAGGCAGCAGACTCTCCAGTTACTTCCTTCTGGCTCTTTTTGATGGCCGGACTCCTCTTTGGTGTCCTCTCCAGTCCTGGCAAATCCTGCTGGACAGGCTCCACCAAGTGGTATTTTAAGGGGCACGTGCAGGCGGAAGCATGGAACTTCTCTGAATTGGGGATCCGGCCAATGGAGAGTTTCACTTTCTAAGACATAAGACAGGAGATAATTAAATGACTGGAGATTATCCTTAGGAGCCCATCCTTCATATCCCTTGAATCTGTTCTTGAAGGAAATCCTGTGATGAGCTATGATGAGCCAAAGGCAGCCGCGGATGATCTGCACATTCTGGTGGAACATGGACTTCAAAGTTCTGACATCCATAGGCCCAAGCCTCTAGGCAGGTTCCAAAAAGTGCTGATGACCCACTGTGCTGGCTAGTATTATGTTAACTTGACACAAGCTAGAGTCATTTTGGAAGAAGGAACTTCAGTTAGGAAATGCCCCCCATTAGATCGGCCTGTGGACAAGTCTGTGGTGCATTTTCTTGATTGATAATTGATGTGCAAGAGCCCAGCTCACTGTCGGGGGTGACATCCCAGGGCTAATGGTTCTGGGTGCTATAGAAAGCAGGATGCATAAGCCATGAGGAGAAACCTTGTAAACAGCATTCCTCCATGGCCTCTGACTCAGTTCCTGCCCTCGCTTTCTTTGGTATGGAAGTATAAGAGAAATAAACTTTCTGTCCCAAGTTGTTTTGGTCATGGTGTTTTATCGCAGCAATAGACATCAAACTAAGACACCACAGGGATCCAGTTGCTCCAAGAGCTCTAGCTGTAGAAATCCAGAGGAGACTGCCATCCAGGAAAGCCCCAGACGAAAGTCGAAGGAAATGGAAACTTGACGTTTCTCTTGCAGATCATTGTTTCTTATCCCTCTAAACACACACACACACACACACACACACACACACACACACACACACCACACACACACACACACACACCATACACACACACACTCACACCATACACCACACATACACACACACACACACCACACACACCACACACACCACACACACACACACACCACACACACTCACACCACACCACACACACACACACACACACACGCACGCACGCACACACATACTACCTCCTCTGCCTCTAAAAAGGTGTCACACTGCTCTCACTGTCTCTAGCCCAGCCCTATGCCAGCCTCCCATTTCTCTCCACTGTGGCTAAAGTAGATGTGATTGGCTCAGACTTGTCAGACAGAGGAGATGCTGTTGCTCCCACATATCCTCTTCCAACTTATGTTTCCTTTCAAGAACCAGGTGTTCGAATCTTAAAAGAGGATTGGCTGTCTGTTTTCACATAAAAGAAGTCAGGAGTGTTGAGGAGGAAGGAAAATTTTCTGTTCCTCCAGATCGGTGCTTCTCAACTTTCATAATGCTGTGACCCTTTAATACAGTTACTTCCTCATGTTGTGGTGACCCCCAACCATAGAATTATTTTTATAACTGTAATTTTGCTACTGTTATGAATGGTAATGTAAATATCTAATATGTGGGTTATCTGATGATACGACCCCTGTGTAAAGGTTATTCAACCCACAGTGGGGTTGAGACCTACAGGCTACAAACCACTGCTCTAAATAACCACGTGGTGGGTGTTGCTAGTGGTCAGTACTATGCAGGAGTTGTTCTCAGGCGATCGAGGAAGACAGCAGGAGCTCAGGAGAGGCGCCGTCTAGAGCAGCGGTCATGACGAAGCATCGGCAGCCCACCCAGGTGGAGTTTAGATGCGTGTCCAGTCAAAACTCTTTTCTCGATTGCTGGGCACGTGTGTGTTTTGAGTCAAAATAATAGTAACTTCTGGAAGGTGCACATGGTTTAACCTTTTGGCCATAGGGTGGACCTTTGGCAAATGCCATGAATTATAAGTTACCAGATTATTGGACTAGGTCCCTCAACCAACATCTTCTCTACCACACAAACTCATATCAAGGATTGAACTCTTGAGCCAAACACTGCCTGGCTTTCCTCAGAAGACTGATCTATTCTCCCTCTACACTTTCTGTTCACACCTCACTGTATTCTAAGAAGTGCCTACAATACTCGTTTTACCCACTAATCAGTGAGCTACTTAAGTGCAAGCTGAGGCCACTTTGTAGTCTTAGAACATTACGCAGTATCCAGTATAGAGTAGAAGGATGTTCAGTAATAGTGAGGGAGCAAGTGAAAGAATGAACCCTGGTTGGGCCACTAACTTTGTGTAGCTTTGTGTCTACTTTAGTCACATGCCTGATTGGTCTTACCCTTTCAGATAATAGCAATAATAACAATTTATCCCACTGGCAGGCTTATTGAGTGATGAAGAACAGATGATAGATAACCACAGACTCCCAGGGCCAGAAGAGGGGTCTTTAGTATTGTGGTGGCAGAAATTTCAAGTCAAGGCTCTATGTTTTCTGAGATGTTAACTGGGTGGTCCAGTCTGTAGATGCATCTGTGTTATAGAAGATGAACGCGAATGTCCCCCAACTGAAGTGAACGTGGTGAGCCCTTCCTTCCCTTTCTCCCTAGTCACAGCCCAGAAATCCAAGAAGTACAGTTTGAAAGCTGTAGGAAAGAACAAGTCCTTCTTCTGCTCCTCACTCCAGAGAGAAGAAGCTAAACACAGAGAAGGCAGTGACCTTCCCAAGGTCATCGGGCTAGAAATCAAAGTGGGCTTAGAAGGAATTAACAGCATGAAAACTGTACTAGCCAGGGAGGGCATTTAAATGCGGGTAACCCTTTAAAATCAGATGCTCAGTGTCAAACCACATAGGATGCTGGTTTTTAATAATAACTCCATGCAGAAGACATAGTGTTGTCAGGCTTTAGATGAGAAAATCGACATTCAGAAAAGTGAGCCTCTCAAAGTCACATGGCCCATGCAGGTAGAAGTAAACTCACTGTGTTGAGCACATAATCTGTGCCAGGGACATTGCAAGCATGTTACAGCACATTATATCATTTGATTCTTCAACAACTGGTGCAATCAGTGTCCCTAATTTTACAGAAAAGCAAGACACAGACTGCTTAAAGGGGCTACCTACAGTCCACAAGCCAGTTTGAGTCATGGGAGCTCTTTCTGCACCTCACAGCACCTGAGTCAGAGGCCAGAGCCCTCTCTCCTGGCCTAGTGCTTTCTCCAATAGCCCTTGAAACAGAAGATGGAATTTCACTCATGTTTTGAGGAGTTCCCAGACCCTGATGCTGTTCCCTCCCACACCGACTTGGTCTGGCCAGGGTTGGTCCACAGGACTCACCTCCTTCTGGATACACCGGGTAAGAAACAAGGACACCTCCTCCAGGCTTTGGGGCTTCAGGTCATTCACGGCCAAGATATGATCTCCATGGCAGAATAAGCACCCTAGTCGGGGAGGGCCTTCCCACCGAGCCACACTGCAGTGGGGATACAGCATCCAAGAGGAGAATGAGATGGAGCTCATTGGCTCACTGGGGGGGCAGGAACGGGGCCTGTGGGATCATCTCACTCTGTGCCCCACACTGGGAGTCAATCATCTCCTTCTGTTTGGACTAACTTCCTCCCAGCCCACCCTCCCTCCCAAACTTTGCTCCAAGCAAACCACCTTCGCAAGGCCTTGCCAAGTCCAGTCCCTTGGTTGGCTTGTCATTAATCTCTCCTGTCCCAGGACTTATAATTATGCATGTTGGGAATACTTTCATTGTAGTTCTGAGTAAGATGTACTTTTTATATTTACTTATTCATGTGGCTACCTTTTTATCTGGCTTTGTGACCCTGGGAGTACAGAACTACCTTTTTGTCTCCTTAGTTAGTGTTTAAAAATTTATAACTCCATAGTTACAGAAAACAGGATGCTCGATAAATGTCTGCCAGAGAGAGTACACAGTCCTGCACAGTGAATATCTTGTGAGTGAATAAGCGAACGGACACATGTATAAGCTTGGTCACAAACAAGCCCACAGGCTGAGCAGGTGTTTACAAGTCTTAGGATGCAAAAATTTGGGGAAAATGGAAAGTTACGGCATTAAGGCATTTTCTTTATATTAAAGAATTATCTTATAAAAATTCAATCTTCCCCCAAAATGAATTAAACAGGTTTATTTATTTTGAGATGGGAGAGGGGAGAGGGTCTCCTTATGTAGCTAAAGCTGGCCTTAAACCTGCTATAAAGCTCAGGCTGGCCTAGAACTCTATTCTAGGGAACTAGGATTACTGGCCTGTGCCAATATTCCCAGTCACAGTTTAAGAGGATGTAGAATCAGATAAATAGTAATTATGTAAAAAAAAAATCTGCCACACAGACTTTTGTGTTAGTGTTTTGGAATGGAAGTTTTGACTGGGGTATGGGAATCTTAGGCCCTCATATGCATCTTTTAGACCCTATTAACTCTCTCTCTTGCTTCATTCATTAAATATTCGCTCTGTGGTGCCTGGGAACGGCACCCTGACATCTATTCCTCTTTGAAGAATCAGAAAGATCCTCATCCCTGGCCCTTTTGGTCCCCCTCGAAAGTTGACCTTCCATATAACAATAATCTTTTGGCCTCCAAGCCCTCTCTGTGGCAACACTGTAGCCGTAGTCCTCGTCAACTTTGTCAAATACAGTGTTTCAGAATAAGGGTGTCCCTCCATCTTCGACCTGTTCATTTGGTATCATCCACGGCTCCACCTACCATATCCGTCCTGCTGCTTCTACCAGAGCAAGATAGTTGAAGGCATCCGGGGGAGAGAGGAACACGTTCAGAGTCTCCACTTGGCTCTCATCAGGGACGTTGCTGGGACAGAAGACATCTGTATAAGTCACATCAAACAGCCAACTGTCCCTGGCTCTGAACTATCCTTTCAGAGTATATTTCTGGCCTTCTGTTCCTGAGATGACATTTTCCAGCTAAAGCTTGTTCAAAACATATGAAGGAAGAAATATGGATCTAAGGTACTGAAAGCTATTCATTGCATCCTTCCCTGCCCTCTTGACTGTGGTTGACAGACAGTGAGGAAAGAGGCCGAAGTGGACTAAGTGGGTTTATAACCATCTCCATCAGGTCAATTTGCATATATGCCTTCTGGAAATTATTCCATATAAGAGGACATGGAAAGCAGCTAAAATTCCAACTATCTTGTCAAGTGCCTTGTCAAGTGACATCACCTAGGGTCTACTTTCCTCTTCTCATCTGCTCAGTACCTCAGGAGGCTTGCCTGCCCACATGATGCTAATTCAAGAGGCTGGTGATGCACGCTGATGCTGGATCAGCGTGGTCCAGGTTCTATGGCCCGAAAGGCTGGCCAAGGAAAAAGTGTCAAAACAGTTGGAAAAGCCACCCCCATCCCTGGGGACGACTCTTCCTCCAACTCTATCTTGCCTGCCCAGGTCACAACATCAGTGGCACAGAGAATGGTCACAGCATCGATGACACAGAGAGAAGCCTGTCAGATTTGAGGCTGACTTGGAGATTCTGAAGAACTACTTTGAAATTTGAATATTAAGTGTATTTAAGGCATCTGTCTTGCTCTTGGGGCCCACAAAGTTTTAGGAATCAGAGCTTTACTTGAGTAATATAGACAATTTCACAACAGTTAGTGAGGCGGACCCCTTTTTGTCAGCTGCAGTTTGTGCTTCCGGATCAGCAGGTGAAAGGCACAGATCACTTCCTGTGCCATGTTCTTGCCGGAGAGGCCCCTGCTCTGGAGTCTCCAGAGAACTCTGGGGTTCAGCTTGGCAACCAGCGGATGCAGAGGTTGATTCTTTGAAGAAACTGGAGTAGAAGACGTTAAACAAAGGTCTATTTAAGCACACACAGTAACAGCTTTCTACTCTGCTGTCAAATATGAGCATCTAACAGCCATAAGAAGATGAACAAAGTCCTGAAGTGTGGTTGATATATTGTGCACCCCAATAAACCTATCTGGGGGTCAGAGAACAGAATGGCCACCATATTAAACATAGAGGTTAGGCAGTGGTAGCACATGCCTTTAATCCTAGCATTCCAGAGGCAGAGATCTGTCTGGATCTCTGTGAGTTCAAAGCCACACTGGAAACGGCCAGGCATGGTAACAAGAGCCTTTAATCTCATGAAGTGATGGCAGGAAGCAGGTGTGAAAACCAGGAACTAGAGCCTGGTTAAGCTTTTAGGCTTTTGAGCAGCAGTTCAGCTGAGACCCATTCAGATGAGGACACAGAAGTTTCCAGTTTGAGGAAACAAGACCAGCTGAGGAGTTGACCAGGTGAGGTTAGCTGTGGCTTGTTCTGCTTCTCTGATCTTCCAGTGTTCACCCCAATACCTGGCTCCAGGTTTGATTTTATTAATAAGAACTTTTAAGATTCCTGATACACTGAAGTGTATTCAACTACCAGAACCCCGCCAGAGGCAGAGTCAAACTGAACAAGCTTTCTAAAAACGGACTTGGAATCGAAATAACCCTTTACAGGGTTGAGAGGAAACAGGGTGAGAGTGTGAGACACATAAAAGCAAAAACCAGAAGACTTCTGAAGACAGAAGCGTCCCAGATGTCACATGTGGCTCTCTGTGGGTGAAGAAACCATGGCCACATTTCCTTCTCTTAAGTCACACGTTGAGCCCCCTTCACCTGAGCATCTGAAGTCTAAACTCTGAGGGAGAATAGGATGCTGCAAGTGGACAGGTGCACCATCCAGCTTTCTTTCCTAAACAAAGTAAATTTCAAACATTTTTACATAAGATTATCATCAGGTTTAGTATATAAGATATGTATAAAAATATGAATCATGCATGTATTTCATGTTTAGATGAGTTCTGTTCCCCATAAGATCTCATTATGGATATGCAGATATTCCAAAAACTAAAAAAAAAAATATTCTGAAACCAGAAACACTTATAATCCGAACATTACAGATAAAGGACATCCAATCTGAATCAATCAATGTGTAGAATGGCGTTTTGGTGATGTTTCTGTAGCAATTTGGCAAAAATGAACTGGGGGCCAGAGAGACGGCTCGGTGGGTAAAGAGTTTGCCATGTAAGCAGTAGGACCTCAGTTTGGATCTCCAGAGCCACATAAGGCCGGACGTGGTAGCGTACCTCTGCAATCCCAGTGCTTCTGTGGCAAGATGGGGTATGGGAAATCCTAGGAAGCTCACGGGCCAGCTTGCGTGGCATATGCAGTGGTAAACACCAGGAAACGCTGGTTCAAACAAAGCAGAAGACGAAGACCAACACCCAACGTTGTCCTCTGACCTCTGCATGTGCTGTATGGCTCATGTCAACACCACACACACATACATATATACACACACACACACATATATATATATATATATTACATCATTCATATATACATATGTATATGTATGTATGTATACCCTCACACACAAGTTAACACAGTGAATTGGTGGTAATTTTTCTATTACAAATAGTTAGCGAAAGGCAGTATTTAGAGGGCAGTTACACTCACCAGGATCTCATTGACATGTAATTGCTCTCAGATTTCTTGGAACCTTGATCTGGACTATTGGAGTCAATGGAGTCAACAGAATCATCGGAATCAGCAATGCTCTTTAGCTAAAGGCAAAAAGCACATCTGTAAGGATACAGGTCTGCAGCTGGCCAGGCCCCTCCTCACCTCACACTGTTCTGTATCTGGAATAACACATCTTCCATTGAAAGGATAGCAGTTCTTCAGAGAATATCAAAGGGCCTTAACCACAGGAGACTGAACCACCACAGTTTCTGGTAGATTTTGAAGCTCGGTTTTCCCTTCCTGGGAGCCTTTGTGTCCCATTCCAGACACACGTATTCTATTGGGAAGCTTTGAGTTTTCCTTTCTGCTTCATTCCTAGCCATTTAATGCCATGAGCCTTTTCCCCAGGTGGTTGACTCTACGAATCATGGAAGCCGATTGGGCCAAAGACTAGACAGAGTGGTTGTAAGCAACCACTGACAGACACTTCCTCTCTAGCTGGCCACTGACTTCTAATTGGAGCACTGCCTTCCAGCCAAGCCAGCCTTCTGCACAGCTGTCTCCTCACCAAAGGCTCTCTTCCAGACCTCACGTTCATGCAGTCTTTTTTGCCTGTGACACCCTTTTCTTCTCTTGCCCAGTGAAGTCCTGTTGTTACCCCACATTCCTGAATCACCTCAGCCCTCCTGACAACTTTTGTACAGTTTCATCTCCTTCCCCGGACGCCATATTCCAAAGAGTGTCTACAGCCCATCCTTTCTACACACCTGATTGATTGGTTGTCCCCAGACACCATATTCCACAGAGTGTCTACAGCCCATTCTTTCTACATACCTAATTGGTTGGTTGTCTCAGAGAACACTAGTGTGTAATTATTCTTGGAGAAAGAACATGTTCTATGCTTAAGAAACCATGGGCAATGCCTTGTGCTATCTACTTGGTTACTTACAATGCAGGACTACATACCAAGGGCTCTGAGAACTTTGCTGTGATGTACAGCTTGTTTCAACCACTTGTAATTTAGTACTTCCATAACCAATTTGACTGCAGCCTGCGTCTTTAAGTAATATTGTCACCATCTAGTAGAAACCCCCAATTTTGGGGGTGATGCTAGTATGCTCCCATCATTCTCCCCTCCTGTCATTCCAGTCCACATTCTATGTCCATGTCTACCACAGAGATAACGTCTTGGTCAACATGGCTAAAAGTCAATTCATGTTTCGCCACTTCTCAACTTAGAAGCCGTCTCTGTCCCTATGCTGCTCACAGAGTGAACTCAACTGTAGCTAGAGTTTTCCTGCCTGGCCCACAGTCAGGACAAATCTCTATCACCTACCAGTCCCACGGCCACTCAGAGATTTGTCCAGACTGTGGGCCAGGCAGGAAAACTCTAGCTACAAATGGCATCCAACGTGGTGGCAAGAGTTTCCACCTAAAAACTAAAAAAAAGATTCTAAAACGGAGCTAAAAACAGTTCCTAATTGTCTCTCTCAAATGAGCGGCAGCTGCCGGTTTGAGCTACTGGTGGGTTCCTAGCTTGCGTGCTCGACCTGCAGTATGGCGGGAATGAGGCCTCTGCAAGTGGCACATTAAGCTGCGTGGTGGATTTAGCCTTTGCAGGTACAAAACAAAAAAAGAGGTTTCTGGACTACACGCTGCTTGGCTAAAAGCATAGACCCACGATAGCTCCCAGAGCTGGTGGTAAACGAACCACCGCCCTGTTGGGAAGCTGGGGTGGGCGGAGTCAACAGCCACAGCTGCTGCAGTTTAAAGCAATATATTCACAATAAGACAGATTCAGATGTAATAGTTTACAATGTGTGTAAAAAATACGTAGGCTTGAAAGAGACAAAAAAGGTGATATATACAGTTATATAAACAAATAAATAGTTTTAAAAAATAAAGTCTTTAAAGAGACAGTAAAATTAATATAAAAATAAGCCACGTAAGATGAATATCACACAGAGAATCTGGATTGTGTTGTCTTTGGGATTCTTAACTGCAGAGAGATATTTGATTGTAAAAGAAGCTGAGTTAAGCCAATATGTATATTTTAAAGATACCTTGACTTCAAAATTTGGATATAAGGATATGTTACTTTGGAAAGGAGACTCTGCTTTTGTTCCCACAGAAAGCCAGAGGCTATGGATTTGTTCCAGATTAAGATACATCAGGTTTGACCAGCCAAGACCCCCTGAAAGGTTTCCGATGACACCATGGCCCAGATGATCCAACATCCAGAACGGTTTGAAGACGACTGGCTCAGACAATACAGCCTCATGGACTACTCCATGATCCTAAAATTTTCTTTGTGTCCCCATAAGATACAGCGCCCCCCTCCAGCAGGAAGTAGTAAGAGAAGCTACGCCCAAATTCCCAAATTATATGTAATTTTACTTTGTTAAGGTTAAAACCTTCCTTTTTGAAAAAAAAAGGGGAAGTGCTGTGCGATGTTCTGTATGGCAAATGTGTTGCTGATTGGTCAATAAATGAAACACTGATTGGCCATTGGCTAGGCAGGAAGTGTAGGCGGGACAAGGAGGAGAATAAAGCTGGGAAGTAGAAGGCTGAGTCAGAGAGACATTGCCAGCTGCCACGATGACAAACAGCATGTGAAGATGCCGGTAAGTCACGAGCCATGTGGCAAGGTATAGATTAATGGAAATGGATTAATTTAAGCTGTAAGAACAGTTAGCAAGAAGCCTGCCACGGCCATACAGTTTGTAACCAGTATAAGTCTCTGTGTTTACTTGGTCGGGTCTGAGCGTCTGTGGGACTGTCAGGTGAGAGAGATTTGTCCAGACTGTGGGCCAGGCAGGAAAACTCTAGCTACACTCAACTTGGAATTAAGTGCCCATCATGGGCTGGCTCTATTTTTCTGTTAAATTTCTACTCTACCATTCACACACTCTGCACTGTGGCCTACCTGAGCAGTTCCCCAGACCTGAAGCCTGCTTTGACTCAAGTGGAAAGAAAAATCTACCCTGTATCTGGTGATCCTGGACCACTCTGTGCCTCTTTGTGTCGCATTATCTTTGGTAACTGAGACTGTGGGCTCTGAAATACGAGGACGATGAAGCTCATCACTGTAGCCACCACGCTGAGCATAGTGCAGTGTCTAGCACTCAGAAGGCTTCCAGTTATCAATAGGCTGCTCCATATACACCCACAGCTGGTTACCCACTGACTTTCACTCTTTTTCTTTCGGTCCAGAAAAGAGAAAGACTACTAAATTCTAAATTTTATCCACCCAGTGCTCAAACATCCTCTCCTCTGTAGAACTTTCTCTGGTCTTCGGCTTGAAAACCAGTTCCTTCTTCCCACCACTGGTACAACCCAGGCATCGTATACGCTCATGTCTTGTGCTATGGTTGGCTCCTATTCAAGTGCCAGCACCATGAGCAAGCCCCCTGTCTCTGCCAGGCTTACCTTTGTGCCCTCCTGATCTCAGCCTATTGTCCCAGCAGCAGTGTGTGGCCGAGGCTCGGCAGACATGTAGAAGGAATGATTGGGGTGGTGGGAGGACTTACTTCTGAAAGGATGCTTCGAGGAGTGAGATAGTAATTCTCTTCTTCCGTATCTTGAGTGGGTTCTGAGGAGAAATCGTGTTCATTATGAGGATGAGCTTGCCTGAATCCTTGAAGGTTTTTTTGTATCAAATGCTGAAAAAGGAAGACACAGAAGGAATTAATGAGTTCCTTCCTTTCTTCCAATAGAATTAAACTAATACTTTCTAGAAAAACTATAATATGTTAGTTGGGTTGACAAGATCGGAGGCTGTTTCACTATGACATGCAGAAGCCCACACAAACTGAACTTGCCTCTTCAATTTGGGTCACCTCTAAAGATGTGAATGCATAAGCATAGTTAATATTTGAAATTTTTCTCTACTGTGGAGAGTTACAACTCAGAACAAGAAGTTTTCTACTGTGGGTGGTGTGGTTAGGCACGGAGCTTTGTCATGATGTCCCCACCCCATCTCTTCCCAGTCATCTCTCAGCAGCTTCTGGGGAGGTAATTAGTCTGGAGTCATTGAACCTCCTCCTTCTGGCTCAGGATTCCCCTTTTGTGTTTCGCCTTGTCTGTTTCCACAGCAGTGCAATTAGGTAGTGTTGGCTACACGACAGTATGAATTATAGGCTTCAAGGTGATGTAGATGCAAGCAATTAATTATTGCCTTCCCTCCCCAGCTGACACCATATACTCACTAATGTAGCTGCTCTGCATAGCATAAGAACTGGTATGAGTGCAATTTAATCACTCCAAGAACAATGCTGGATGGCAGGGGGCTTCCATAAGACCCTGAATGTTTGCTAGGAATTCCATGGAAGGTAGCGCTCTCTCTCTCTCTCTCTCTCTCTCTCTCTCTCTCTCTCTCTCTCTCTCTCTTTGGGGGGGGGAGGGAGAAAGAGAGAGCACACCATAACTAGTGATAGTTCAACTTCCCAGGTTTTTTTTTTCTCTCATGGGGGTGTGCAAAAGCAAGACATAGTCAATGGAAACTGCTTTGCAGATTTTGAACTTTAGCCTTTGTGTGGGCTACCAATAAGGGTATGCTAACTTTCTTTTAAGTATGATGGCAGCAGTGAGCCACAGCTCCGGGACAGCCCTGCAATCTTGGTGGTGGTGGTGGTGGTGGGGGACAGCGGGCCCTGCACAGTGTGCTGTGCTGCTAAGCTGTGATGTTCAGAAAGGCGGGTACATTACATGCACTTTCAACTCATGCTGCATTCCATTTATGAGTTTGTCAGGATATGACCCCACCGAGAAGCCCACAAGCATCTAGATAAACTTAAGTCATGTCCATTTTTCTAGCTCAAAGCTCACTGCCATGGTATGACTGTCCCTCTCCAAAACACGTATTGAAATCTGAATGCCATTTTTACAGCAGTGGGTAGAACTTCCTGTGTTCCTGAATGTCGCGTCTGAGAGGCATTGCCCTCTGCCTTGCCTGCCTGCCCGCCTGTCACTTGATGACCAGCAAGAAGGCCCCCACCAGATGAGAATCCTCGACATTGAGCTTCACAACTTTCAGAGCTGTGGAAACCAATTGCTGTCGTTTAGAAACTCATAGTGTACTATGGGATTCTGTTGTAGTTGCTGAAGATGGAGCCTGGAGCCCGATTATGCTGAGTCGGGAGTGAAGGGTTCCCAATGTACCAGCAACATCAACAACAAAACCCAGCAAGATACATGTGGTCTTTAACTTGAGAGGGTTGAAAAAAATATTACTTGATTTCAATAAATAATGGGAAAAGGCAAAAGCAACCAGTAAGGCTCCTCTTGGGGAAAAGGATTCATCATGAATGGAAGCTTTGTTCAAGGTCAGCCTGCCTGCCCTTGTCTCAGACCACTGGTTTTGCTCACTGAATGGCTGAGATGAGGTGTTGGTCCTGGTGGTGCTGATATGCTGAAAAAGCTTTTACAATGTTGGAGAACTACCAGCTAGATAAAGTGGGAGCCCCGCCTCATCGCGTGTGCGTGGTACCCGCAGAGGGAAGGATGCCAGTGGTGGCGTCTCTAGCGGATGAAGTAATAGACGTGCAGGAAACAAATGACCCAGCTCATTTGTTGATAAAAGCCGAATCTAGAATCAGCGAGTCCAGGAAGGGGAGGGCACGGTGGTTCTGTGGCCTTCCAGGGGCAGGCATGCTATTTTACTTCCCCAGACAGATTGCATGAGGAGTGAAGAGGACAGACACACAGACTGAGAAGCCAGACTGATGGATGAGTGAAGGGAAGCAGGAAGAAACTTCACCTTGCCCGAGGGCACGGACAGCACAACAGGAAACCAAGGGGAATTGGGGACCTTTGTGCCGTGTGCGGAAGGAGGAGAGGAATCCGAGTCTGTCAAGAGCATCCAAACTGAATGAAAATCTTTAGTCAGCTAGGCAAGTGGTAAAGCCTACCTGTAGAATAAATAGGAAATGAGTAAATATGCTGTGTGTGTGTGTGTGTGTGTGTGTGCGCGCGCACTTGGGTGTGCACAAATGTGAAGGTCAGAGGACAACCTCAGGTGTGAACTGCTGTGGATATCACTCTGTATAAATAAAATGCTGATTGGCCAGTAGCCAGGCAGGAAGTATAGGTGGGACAAGCAGAGAAGAGAATTCTGGGAACAGGAAGGCTGAGTCAGGAGACCCCTGCCCGCTGTCCAGGGAGCAGCATGTGACAGGCACACAGGTAAAGCCACGGAACATGTGGCAACATATAGATGAACAGAAATGGGCTGAGTTTAAGTGTAAGAGCTAGTCAGTGGTAGGCCTGAGCTAATGGCTGAGCGGTTTTAAATAACATTAGCCTGTGTGTGTTTATTTGGGTCTGAATGGCTGCAGGACCGGCAGGTGAGAGAGATTTGTCCTGACCATGGGCCAGGCAGGACTGGAGAAAACTGCAGCTGCAGTGAACCTTAGCAGCATTCACCTTGTTTGTTTCTCCTGCCCACCGGCCTGGAACTCACCAAGCAGGCCAGGCTGACGGGCCAGTGCAGCCCAAAGACACACCTGTGTCTGCCTCCTCGGCACTGGAGTTATAATGTGCACCACCACATGAGTCCCAGGGCATCAAAGCCGGCCTTGTGCCTACAGGGCAAACGCCGCTCTGACGGAGCTGCCTCCTCAGCCCCAGAAATGATGAGAAAGACGGGCAAGGTCAATGCCTGCTGCTAGCCAGTGGCGCTATTCAGCAATGGCCGACTCCCTGCTGCGGTGCCCTGATGTAGTAGGGGGAGGTTTTGATTACCACGTCTGGAAGGCTGGCCCTTGGTAATGGCAGGCTGATAACCTCCGGAGCACTGCAGAGGCCAAAGAAAGGACTGGGGTCGGAAACTGGCCTTCTGTCACCCAGGGAAGGCTGCTCCTGCTTGGAAAAAAGTCATTCTGTAGTTAGAGTGCGATTGCTCCCCTATTGCTGTCAGCCCCCCACTGCCACCTGGGCTCCCTGGGCTCCAGGGGCTCTCCAAGGCTTTGACTGGGCTGCTCATTGGCCAGTGTCACATCTCTAAGACGAGGGCTGATCTTGCCAGTGCAGCTTCCTCCAGCTCCTAAGTCCCCAAAGACACCCAGCCTGGCCTTAACAGGCACCCTGAGGGCTCCCCAGAGTCTTCTCCACCGCGCCTCTCCTCACACCCTGCTGCTTCTGCTCTGAATCTGTAGGAGGCACAGCTTGATCTCTCCTTCTCTTTGGCATTTGCTACAAGCATGGGACAACCTGGAAAATACATTCATAAATGTAGCTACAGCCCAGTTCCCTCCGTGACAGTCTGTAAGCAAGGATGGGGGAAATTCACAAAGCCCCTTCTGAAGTCAATTAAAAACCTTCAGCTGCTTACCTGACACAAGAGACATTGCATTAAAATGCAAGGCAGGTGAAAACAATGTTTGATAGATGCCTCCCCAGACTTAGTCATTCAAAGGGGAGCTGGTTATGTACCCAGAATCACAATGGTGGAAAAATAGTATACTTCAAGCTACTAGGAAAAATTGCCGCCATTAACGTTCACTCCCCCTACTGCAACAATGACAATGTAATTACAAAACACAAAAGTATTTTTCCTTTTGTTAATTGTGAAAATAACAAGGGCATATGTTTCCTCGCTTATTTATTCCTTGTATTGACACCAGTTGCTAAGGAGAAAGAAAGGGCCACTACTGTTTCTAAGGAAAGAGGGCTGAGTTCAGGTGCCCTGGAGCGTCATTAGGGACATAGTTACCTGTGAATTCTGATGAGCTGTTTTCACACCCCGGCAATATGCTGACATGAAGGACACCCACTCTCTGATCTTCTCCCTGGGGTAGGAACAGAGTTTCAGCTGGCGTCGTCGACACAATCGCTCCCACATTCATTCTGAACCCAGTGGATTCTCTGGTTACACTCGGAACAGCTTTGGGATTGGTTGCCCACAAAATAGAACTCTTTTCCCCAGTAGTTTGAACGGTTCACTGCTCCCCCGCTGTCTCTGCATCTGCACCGCTGAATGAACCCTCATGACATCTCCAGTAGGGAAACTCAGAAATAACGGCGGCAACATGGGGTACAGGGCCTGTCAGCGCCTCGTCCATACCCTCCAGTCTCCTCCGCCCCTCTCAGGAAATGCATCTTTAGGAAGAGTGCTGTAGTGGTTATTTTTTTGTCAACTTGATACAAGCTCAGGTCATCTAGGAAGAGGGAAACTCAACAGGAAATTCCGCCATCAGATGGACCTGTAGGCAAGTCTGTGTGGGTATTTTCTTGATTAAATATCAATGTATTGGGCCCAGTCGACTGTGGGCTGTGCCGGCCCTGGGCAGATGGGCCTGGGTGCTGTAAGAAAGCAGGCTGAGCAAGCCAGTGAGTAGCTCTCCACATTCACGGCCTCTGCATCAGTTCCTCCTCCAGTTCCTGCCTCAGGTTCCTACTCCGACTTCCCCTAATGAGGGACTGTAATCAGGACTTCCCTCAGGAGTCACTTTTTGTCGGTGTTTTCTCAGGCAGACGGAGAAGTGAACAAAGGCATGTGTGTCTGAGTGAACGGACACGTTCCCCACCATCTCTACTGTTGCTTTCTGTGACAATTTAAAAGAAAACTTTGCAGCTTTGGGTCAACCTGAGATAGAGTAAGGCTGCAGCTTGGCTCCAGCCTCAGGCACCTCCTCCCACACTACACTGTCTCTCGCTGGTAGATAAGCGGGTGTGAGAATCCTTGGGCACTCCTGCTGGCAACAGAAGCCTCTGAAAACCCACAGAAGCCTTGAAGGTGAGCACGTCCCCTCACTGCAGCTCCTACAGGTGTTTCTGGTCATGTTGTTTTTCACAGAAGGCATCTGGGCGATAGCGTGCTTTGTGACCCTCTCCTCATCTACCATGTCCTAGTTCTGGCTCCTGGTCCTCAGATGTCACCTATGTTTCTAGAAAGGGACTGTTTGCAGAGATAACTGGTTAAGTTGAGATCACAATGGACTAGCAGTACCTCCTAAACGAGTAAGACTGGTATCTGTGATAAAGGAGAGAAATTTGACCCAGAGGTACATGCATATGTGAAATGCCATGTGGAAGGTAGGGTTGGCTGTTGGAGCCAAGGGACCGCCAGCAGTTCCGAGAGAGAGGTTTGAAAAGAGCCTTCCTTCCACAGTGCTTCCCGGGAGTGGCCATGTCTGCACCTTGTTGCTGAGGCCCAGCCTTCAGAACAGTGGGGTTATCAACCTCTGTTGTTTTAAACACCGTTATAACACTCGTAGGCAGCTAGCATAATGATTCTTAAAACTATTTTAAAAGCCAGAGAGGAAGCTTCGTTGGCACTTGACATGCGGCCGTGAAGATCTGAATTTAATCCCTACAGAAAAGCCAGGCATGGTGGAGTGTTTGCAACACCAGCTGAGGAGGCAGAGGCAGGCAGATCCTGCAGCTCTTTGGCAAGCCAGCCTAATGCAAGACCAGTGAGGGACCCTGTGTCAAAAATCAAAGTGGACAGCTCCTGAGGAATGACAGCCAAAGTGTCCTCTGGCCTCCACATGCACACACATGTGTGCACACACTCACATGTGCAGCCACACACATGCACACACTCACATGTGCAACCACACACACATATGCACACATGTGCACACACACTCACATGTACACACATACACATATAGCCACACACATATGCACATACACATGCACACACACTCACATGTGCAACCACACACATATGCACACACACATGCACACACACACACACACACAACCATTTTAGCACACAAAGAAGACTGCTGCTTTGCATGTTCAGTCCGTTCTCTATTTACCTCCTGTTTATTGTCTACAGGTTATAATGCTTTTCTCCACACACAGCACGCGACACATTGTCATCTCACTGCTCACCTGTCATGGCCAATGAGGAAGTAGTCCCTGTTCACGGTTCTGATGGACATCACCTCCTCAGGGTGGCATTTGAACATCCTCTGCACAGACTGCATCTTCTCCTGGCTGTTGATACCGACTTCTATGGTGGTGCTTCTGTGACAGACACAAAGCATCGGAGCTGATACAGAGAGCAACTCAAGATAACAACAGACTCCTGTTTTAAATCAGGAACGAAACTGAAGATTTCATTGACCCACATTTTAAAGACTGTCTAGTTCACGTCATAAATCTCATTTGAATTCTTTCTGTTTTAGAAGATAACTCTGGATCTGGTTCATCAGTAATTGAAAATACTGTTCTGCTTGAAGTTCAATCCAGAACTTTCTACTTGGGTTGGATCCCCGAGTCCATAAATCACTATATTTTGCAATATTTCTGGTACATGATTTCTTCAGAAAAGACAAAGAATACTTTATCTAAATATTTCTTAAACTCTGCTTTGGCTCTATGAAATTGGATTTCAGGAGCTCTATCTCATCAAAAAACTAAGTGAGACAAAGCCCTCAACCAAATGCTTAGGAATTAGAAATTCACCAGCTATAACATACAATATGAAGTAACTACTTCACTTTTACCCATAGCACTCATTACTTCAGTTCTTTTAGAGACACAATGCTCTAGCAGGTCTGAGGCTTTTGGTCAGATGCTCAGGGTTAAGTTTCTGTGCGGCTTGTTTAGCGTCTGACTTGGGCACATTTGCAGTTGTGCAGGTTTCCTGGTTTGGATACACACCGATCGAGTTCGATGGAGCCTCGATGTTGATGGTCTTTGTAATAGGAAAGACTCAGGCCCTTTCCCCCGTTCTGGGACAGGATAAAAAGGCGCTTTTTCCAGGAGGTCTGAAAAATGAAAAGGGGGTTGGGGATTTAGCTCAGTGGTAGAGCGCTTGCCTAGCAAGCACAAGCCTGGGTTCAATCCTCAGCTAAAAAAAAAAAAAAGAAAAGAAAAAGAAAAAAAAGAAAAGGTTTTGCTGTTCCATTAACTCAGAAGAGCAGGGACTTTTTTTCACATGCTCCTGAGGCTGGTGGGAGGCTGGTTAAACCAGTGATCACTTACTGCAGAGAAGAAGAGCTGAGGAGGCGGAGACTTAATGAAGTAATCTTGTTTGTGGGCTTCACTTTCATAATCAAATGTAAATTGTTTGCCTAATAAAAGAAAGTGAAGAGGATTCAATTTGTTCTCTCATAAATTTCAGAAAAGAACAGCTTCCTTTGGAAAACATTGTTTAACTTCAAATTATTCAGTCATTCAAAAGAACACACACAATAGCTGCTTCCCCAACCCCCACCCCCAAACCCCAACAAAAAACCAAGTGAGGAACAGGGCCATCATTTGGATGTGGGTCACTCAGCACACCTGCCGGACTCCACTTCTGCAGTCTGGCCCTGGGTCCCTAGGTGTGAGCAAAGGGTTGTTTCCTTTCTCATTTCAACAATGAGGTAACCTGTGAATCACCTTTTGACACAGCGAATCAAAGCAGAACCAGTCTGGTGAAAAGAGGCAGGAGGCACTTTTCTCTTTGTTGTGGGAAGAGGGGGTGTGGCCACAGAGAGGGAAGTTCAGTAGAGAGGCCTCATCAACGTGCCGGGTACCACAGTCTCAGCTGCTCTATTACACAACCCGGCCTCCATTTTCACCCAGCAGGCTTTGAGCCTTTGGTAAGGTCTGTCTTTTCTGAACCCAAAGGCAAACCAGACTTACAGCCTGTGATGTGAGAGTAAAATGTGCCCTTAACCACAATTTTAACAGCACCGTTTTCCTAACAGAGAGTAACAGCCTTTTGTATAGACAGTTTAGAAACTACAAAATCATCATCATCATCATCATCATCATCATCATAATAATAATAACTGACTTTAATTCCAGGAATTACAACCAAACAGTTAATATTTAGGATCCTCTTTATGGCTTCTGCCACCCCAGTTTCCACATCAGGTATTTCTGTTTTTATTTGTTAAACTGTGTGTGTGTGCGCACATGCTCCTCCTTCTCACATACCAGGACTATTGATCTACACATGTGTGTGCCACAGAAGGATCAGAAAAGATTAGAGCACCCACCTAGGACAAAAAAAATGCCTATTCCTTCCAGCTCTGCTGGAAAAGGTTGTAATTCATGGGACTGAGGACTGTGCCAGACCCACCTAACAAATCATAAAGGCAAGTCTAGAAGATCAAGTTGTTTCCAAGAAACTTAAGATTTACAAGAATAAAAAAATATTCAGTCCCAATAAGGTAAAATTTGCAATGTCTGGCAAGCGGTCAAAGGCACTAGGCAATCAGAAGAGGCAGACAGAAGTGACAATGTAATAACTAATAACTAATCAATCAAGGCAGACCTTGAACTGGCACCGTCTTAGACATGCCAGAGATTTGCCGAGACATCTACTGCTATTGTCAAATCCTGGGAGATCCATGAGTTAGAAAGACCCAAAATGAACTCCGAGAGACGAAAACAATCTTGAGGCAGGGGGGTTTACACCAGGGGCTGTGAGAGAAAATGGAACACTACAGAAGTGTACCCAAACTCATAGCAATAGGGAGTATCAAAACAAGCAAAGTAAACAAAAGCCCAAAGCATGAAGAGAGAGCCCACGCACCAGGGACAGTCTCAAGTGGTCTGATACCCAAGCAGCTGGAATCCCTTAAAAAAGGGGGGGGGGGTAAAAAATTTTTTTGAAGAAACAATTCTAAAAGTTTTACAAACTTAAAACTATAAACCAAAACCCAATCAATTCAATGAACCTCATGAAACACAAGACACGGGAAAGGAAACACACCCCAAGTTCCTCAAAATCAAGATGCTCAAAACCATGTCACCAGAGAAACATCTCAAAATCAGGCAGTGGAGAAAAGACCGTCCATACATAGCAAGGATAAGCAACAAAATGCTCTGTTTCTTTTTAAAATTCTATTCACGTGTATGAGTGGTTCGCCTGCCTACATGTCTGTGTACCACATGCACGTCTGGTGCCAGAGAGGGCCGGAAGGGGGTGTCGTATGCCCTGAAAGTGGAGTTACAGATGGTTGTGAGCCTCCATGTGGGTGCTGGCAACCACACCTGGGTCCTTCGGAAGAACAGTCAATGCTCTTCACTGCTTGGCCATCTCTCCAGCCATAACTGCTTGATTTCTTATTACAAATATAAACAAGAAAATGCAGAGCATTATACACACCGAAGAAATGCTGCCATTCAAAGTTCTATAAGCAGCAAATACATCTTTTAAATATGGAAGCAATTTGAAGATATTTTCAGATATGCAAATTTTGAAAGAGTTTCATCATCAGGAAGCTTCCATTATCAGAAATGATGCTAATGAAAATCCCTTAGAATGTACCAGAGGCATGCAGAACACCGATGGAGACTACAGTCCTTCAGAATGTGTCAGAGGCATGCAGAACTGGAAACTACAAGGCTAAATGTGTGAGGTGATTTTTCTTATTATTTAAAGCACTCAATAATTCAACTAGCTAAACAAAAATAGCAATGCATTGTGCAGATTATAATGGTGTGTGAATAATGTGAATTCCAATAACAGGCCAGGGAATAAAAATGAGATTACATCTCTGTAATGAGCCTGGATTATTTGTGAACCAATCTACCATTACTTGGGGTTAGACTGTTATATGTTTAAAAATATATAAACACGAAAGTAACATTAAATATAGTATTTAATATAGGCTAAAATAATATAGCACAGTTTAATAAGCTAATAAGAGATGCAGTAAAATTAAAAGTGCTCAATTAACTCAAAAGAAAGCAGAAAAGGTGGTGTGTGTGTGTGTGTGTGTGGAGGGGGTGGATGGCAAATGAGGAAAATAGAAAACAGCAATATGGTACTGTCAAGCCTGAACACAACAGTCACATAAAATTTAAATAGTCCAGACATCTGAATTAAAAGGAAGTTGTCAAATTGGATAAAATAGCAAAATCCAACTCTATGCTGCCTCTAAGAACCACGTAAGTGTAAGAGGCACAAGTAAAAGAAAAAAAATGATGCATGTCTTAGGGATTCCATTGCTGTGATAAAACACCAGGAGCGAGAGCACCCTGGGGAGGGGAGAGTCTGTTCAGCTTCTCCCTCAGGTCACACTCCATCACTGAGCAAGTTCAGGGCAAGAGCTCCAGGCACGAACCTGGAGGCAGGAACTGAAGCAGAAGCCATGGAGGATGCTGCTTACAGGCTTGCTCCTCATGGCTTGCTTAGACTCTTCTTATACAAGTCAAGGCCATCTGCCCAGGGTTGGCACCACCCACAATGGGCTGGGCCCTCCCACATCAATCATTAGCAAGAAAATGTCCCCAGCAGGCTAATATGGACGGGGCATTCTCTCAACTGAGTTTCCTTCTCAGATGGCTCTACTCCCCGTAAAGTAGAAAACAAACAAACAAACAAACAAAATCCTAGGCAGCATAATACACCGTGTTAGCCCAAGTCATTAGAAAGCGGAGTAGCTATGGTATATCATGCAGACTCCAAAGCAAGGAATAGTACCAGAAATCAAAGAAGGTCATCTTATAATAATATAGGAGTCAATTAATCCCAAGAAGATATAATAACAGTAAACATGTATGTACCCAGTAACAGAGCTTCAAACATGAAGCAAAACCTAACAAAATTACAAGGAAAAATAGGCACATTCAAAATGAAAGGCGCCCTCCCCCTTGCTCCTCACCACCTGAGGCAGGCGGGGGGAGCTGACCCAGCTCCCCACCAACTGCAACATTCTGGAGAGTGGGCCCTGGACCTCATTTGGGCAGCACAGTAGAGCTGACCCCGTTGACAGGGGTATGGGTGAACCCACCTGGGAACATGAGTGTGGAAGATCTGGCGTTGCCCCTCATCTGCCATATGGTGGCATGGGCAAGGGAGAGGTGCCCTCCTCACCCTACCTCTCACTGCCCGGGGCAGGTGGAAGAGCCGGCCCTGAGGTCATGAGAGAGAGAGCTGGCCCTGCCTCTCACCAGCGGCAGCACTCAGGAGAGTGGCCCCTGCACCTCATCTGGGCAACACAGTAGAGCTGGCCCTGGTGGCATAGGTGTGGGTGAGCCAGCCCTAAGGGCATGAGAGCAGGAGAACTGGCCCCGCCCCTTGCTGCGTATTGCATTGGGTGAGCTAGCCAGGGCAGCATTGGAGAGCTCACCCTGGTGGTGAGGATGAGGGAGAGCTGGTGAGCTGACCAACCCAGCAACCACCCAAGCCCAGAACCATGAGTTAGCCCATCCAACATCTACCCCATCTATGATCTGCTGGAGCACCTGAAGGGACTGGTCCTGCAGACCCAAAGCTTCAGGATCTCCATGACACAGGACAACAACAGGATATCCAAAAGGAGTCCCAGTGATGGCCCAGTATTAATAGTGTAGCAGAAACCAGAGGCCTTGAAACAGACCAATGACTCATTGCAATGAACACTTGCTAGTAAAGATGAATGGACTAAAGGGCAGACACTACAGCTTCCATGATGAGATTTTTCTTTTTCTTTTCTTTTAAATTTTATTCTGTTTTATCTTGGGGGTGGTTGGTTACAAGGGCAGAGGGCAGATGCGAAGGGATGGGGAGATGAATGGAATCGAGATGTATGATGCGAAATCTGCAAAGAAAAATTAGAAACAAAAACAAAATGGCAGTCACCGGTTTAGAAAGCTTTCAGTAACAGAGAAAACACATAAGGGAAAAATCAGTCAGGATACAGCAGCTCGAGCAACAGCACCAATGGCTTAACCTGGTTGGCATTTATAGAGCACAGCGGCAGACTGGCTGGTCCTGTTCTCCTGTGCACAGCATAACTCTTCGTGACAGAAACTTCGGTCAACTAGAAAGAGAAGGAAGTTCCTTCAACCAAATCCAAGATATCTACTTTTGTTTTAGATCTGTAAATAACACTAAAGACTACGACCTTTTCTCTAAGCTTATGGGCAAGAGAAAAATGTTCGCATTTACCCAATGCAGAGCAGTTGAGCATGCATCTGAACTGGAAAGAAGTAAAACTATCTTTACAGGTGACATGATCTACCATGATTTCCTGTGGTAGAATCTAAGAGGTAATGAACAAATTCAGTGGTAAGTAGAGTCACTATACAACATCTCTCATATTTCTATAAAGTGGCAACAGATAATCTGAAAGTGAAAATAAAGTATTTC